CCGAGCCATCTTCATCGCCATCTTCATTCGCGCCTGTCTCCTCGCCAGAATCCCCTTCTTCCTCCGCAGCTCCGGAACCCTTCGCCGGCGGTTCAACCTCGACGTGTAGACGCGACGAACGCGTCCCTCGTCCAGAGGTACGCCCGCCACGGCCTGATTTCCGTCCTCGTGATGGCGCGGGGGAAGAGCGAGGTTCTGTATGAGAGGAACAGCTTGCGATTAGTATTTTTCTTCCAAATCCGACATCCAAGGTAGTAGTATCATATACGCACCGTCTGTATCAGCCACCGTGCTCCCCCTCCTCGATCCCGCATGCGTGCTAGGATCAGGAGACGCGGTCCCTTCCATCGCCAGTCGCCGTTCGAACATCATTTCTCCGTATTCGTCCTGGGGTAATTCGAACGGGCAGTAGAATTCCTTCGAGTCCTCGGCGGTGTCTGTTATCAGAGAATCTTCCTGTTTATCCCCGTAATAATTGATGAATGTTAGCACGAGCCGGAATTCCAAGAGTGAAATATAATCTCAATGGCTGGGTGAGGCATCAACCCACCCGTTCATCCAGAGCCGGAAGATTGTATAATGTCCCCAGCTTCTTCCATATTCCTGGTATCCGTGTGTGTTCTGCGTGCGCGGGCGCATATCCTTGGCTTTTCATGAACTCCGAAATCGCGATCATGCGGAAGTGCTTGTGCATGCCTTGAAAGGAAAACCTCATTAGCGACACACTGTTCGGAATAGTGCTTGTCCTTGCGCCCGGCAGAGGGGAAAGGTTGCTGACATACCGACAGGCTTCCATTTTATAATCCCCTTCAACAGCGCGGTCTCTTGCTCGTCCGTCCAGGGATCTGTCACTGGGTCGTAATCCGTGGTTGTTGGCTGGTCAGCGGTGCTTGCGGACGGCTCGGCATTCTCATTTTGGGGGGTGAGTTTGGCTTTCTTGCGCGGGGGCATGGCGGTTGAATGGTGAGTAAACAGAGAGCTTGTGTGTAAAGGTGGGTAGGTAAATAATGGCTTGCTGAAGGGACGGAGGGGAGAGCTCTCGTCCGCGGGTTGGCTGAACCGCGGCGAATTCCTGCCGCTTCGGTTTCCCGAACAAGCGGTGGTCCGGGCGTTGGACGGGGAGAGGAGCTAGTCTGGTTTGGGTTTAGTGAGGCGTGATCTCGCGCTGCCAACGCGTCCTCTGGTGCTTGTCACTTGAGAGTCCCACGAGACTTTGGTGGGTTGGGTTCAACTGAGGACGATGAATACGGGAAACTACACCTCTGGGCCACTGTATTGTCATGGTCTACAGAGTGTTGGCCAGTTCGTCTTGCGGTTCCTGCATCCATTGAAGCTGTTGGCGTAGGAGTAGTTGTCCGCTGCATAGTACGAACTATATGCTGAAAGACGTCATTATTGGTTCCGGACTGCGAGTTGTTTCAAGTGTCCTATGGACTGCAATTGGCAGATTCGGCAGGAGAATGTCTCAGGGGAGAGCAGGGTGACAATGCTAAACTGTGATCTTTCAATGGTAGCCATCATTGTATGCCCCACGAGGCTACAGGTGTCGGTCGTCGGTTCTCTTGTGAATTTGACTGCTAGCTATAGTGCGATGCCATTGAGCTTACTGTCACTTTCCTTCGTCAAACAAGACCGATGGTCTATCTTACTTGACCAACATGAGTGAGCGAATGATACGATTTTGACCCAGATAGAAGATCCTACGTCGACTCGCGCATATTGCAGGCGCACATCAAGGTCAACTTTATCCTTTCACTTGAAGCACATTACAGTTCGTATATGTTTCTTGCGAAATTAGCGTCATTATATACAATCTAACATCGTCGTCTTCCTATGCTAGTGACGAAGGATATTTCCTGAAGTGAGCACTCAGAAGAAATGAAGGTCCGACTCCGCCCATCCTTGCTCCAGTAGGATCTTGCGGGCGGACTTTTCCATGGCCTCTGGACCACAGATAAGCACCATGCTCTTGCCATCGGGAATGACATACTCTTTCAGCAGGTCTTCCGATATACGTCCACGACGTCCAGTCCAACTGTCCGGAGCCTTGGTTAAAGTGTGTACCACCTTGCACTTCTTGCTATCCAACGCTTCATAGGCGTCCAGTTCGTCACGACATAGAATGTCCTCTTCCTGTCTATTGCCATCCAGGACCACGCATGAAGTAGGGTCCTGCTTGTCCTGTATCACCGCACGTAGCACTTGGAAGATTGGCGTGATACCAGTTCCTCCACAGATCATCTTGAAAGAACTAACATGGCGCTCTTTGCCGCTCACCATGACCTTGCCGTTTCCAAGGTACTCGAATCTGCCAGTGGGACCCTTGCAGTCTATTTCTGATCCCAACGCGAGCTTCTCTAGAGCCATAGTCATCTTACCACCTTTGACCGTGGGAGTGTCGAAGTAAATCTTGACCAGCAGGTCCATGGTGCCTTCCTGATTGGTATCGGAGATAGGGGTGTATGAGCGGATAATGGCTTCTTTGCTGGTGGGGTCGGCGACCTTGATCATAAGATGTTGGCCAATGGGTAGGCCCAGGGTCTGTTTGTCATGTTGAAGCTGGAAAGTGAAAATGCGGGTGTCCCATGACACGTCCTTCCTCTTTACAAGGGTCATCTTCGACCATGATTTCGACTGGAGGAATGTTGCGCGAGGTTCATCCGATTCTGGTGCGCTATCATTCTTGAGCGCTTCCAACGACGCCTTATCCATGGTTCCGATATGGTAATCAGGCATCATGGCTTTGGCCGTTTCGCTATCTGTGAGTGTGTCAGCATTCTAGACTCCATTCAAAAAAGGTCCTTAGACATACGGATGGCCAAAAATTCCTCCGAAACGTCGATGCCAGCAGACGAAATGATACTCTGAGCTCCTCCAGGATGGCCCTCAAGGAATGCCGTGCCATCGTACACTTCCCCGTTCACGATGAACCAGGGCTTCTCATCGCTTGAGTTCTTCTTGAATTCTTCAAGGTCGATCATCCGGTTCACGCCGTCTTTCTTCATGTTGATCTCCTTCTCGGGCTCTGGCTCTGCCGGTTCCTCTCCTGCGTGTCTTTCTCCCCAGTTACCGTTGACCAGATCACCACCGGCCTTTTTGACGCGTTCCATCCATCCACCAGGCCCGGTAGGATCAGTTGGGTGCTCGAACCTGAGAGTCCCGTTCTCCTTTGTGATGGTGACCCGGAACCAAGGATTGTTCATCATGCCCAGAACAGACCAGTACATATCGCGCGGTTGGAGAGACAAGGCCTCATCCATGGCCCGCACAAGAATGGCATCTGTATTCTCTAGCTCAGGAATGGCGATATCCAGCGACCAGAAGCTCCAGCAGAAACAGGTCTCGCGCCAGGACATGTCCACCCTGCCACCGAACAGGTCCCCTTCGAAGTCACGATACTTGTCTTCGGCATATGAAATATTGGCCAATCGCCAGGCTATAATCAGGTTAGTTCTGCTTCAACACACTTGCGCGATGATCTCGTACATTTGCCCTTATCTAAAGATATTTCGACTCTCGTAATCCTCCGACCGCCTCCTGCATAGGCATATCCTTTCACGTTGTACGACGGGCCTGCCGACGCAAGATCCAGCACCTCCTTGTGCTCGGGGTATACTACAGAAGAGTTCACGTTAAGATCATAAATTGCATATCGGTCATCGCGCCACCAGTTTGGGTCACTGGACGACATTTCGGGCGAAACCATTGTCCTGGATATAAGTTAGACAAGGTACTCTTGTGGTCGGATAGGCGAGTCTTACGGTAATACTCGATTGTCATAGATGTGGTACCAGTTATCACTGGGCGCATCAGTCAAAATGAGCTTCTTCAGCCATTTGACACTTCGGCCACCGATCTGGCCGGGTACGACGGCTCTCAGGGGACGGCCGTGATCAGGACGAAGATCCTCGCCGTTCATTTTGTGGGCCAGCATGATTCCCCTATTGGGATCCATAGCCCAATTGAGTTTGATTGAGGTGCCGTAATACCCGTTTGGCTGAAAGCAAAATGTCAGAGCACTACATGCATAGATGGATATGGCGACTTACCAGCTTATCTGCTCCCTCCATGCAAACATACTTGGCTTTCCTCAGAGGCTTCGCGCTTCGTAGGATATCTGCCATCATTGGGCCAGTCCAAAGGGCCGTCGACAGGCCAGCGGAACCCCATGAGAAACCCTTGGTCTTCCTGACCACATTCTGCTCCTTCCGTCTGTTTCCCGCACAGACGAGAGTGATTGGTGCTGTGATCTGATCGTATTTCTGCAAGATTTCCCGGAAATTGAGGACAAGCGGCTTCTCCACCAGGCTGCATATCACTTGTCAGATAACGGTGCGACATTTGGGGGAAATGATATTTTTTACCCTTCGATGCTAATCTCCCAATTTGGGATGTCTTCGTCTTTCACCAAAGGTACTGGGCCATGATTTCTCACATAGAACAATTCCGGGGAAGTCAAGAAGCCTAGTTTCTGGTGAGCATCACCACGGCTACAAGGGCCCTTGCGCAGACTTCAAAGGGAATAGGGCAGCAGGGAAAGAGGTTGAGTACCTTCGTCGTACAGAGCCGTGAGCGGAGGCTCGACATTGAAGGGATGAACACCCGTCAGTCTGATAAGGCGAGGGTCGCGGGGTACATGATAATCGGGAGTTGGCTTGTCTATATTGAGAACTTCGGTTGGTTCTTTTGAAGGGGGCGGCAGAGGAATGTCTGGAAGTTCCACGGCAGGCAGCTCCTCTTGGTGGACCTTGATCGGACCCGACTTGAGGGCGACCCCTTGAGCGGTGAAAGGCTCTGTCAGCACCTCAGTGACAGTCGCCATGATATGCGCTTTGTGGTTCAATAGCCTCGAGGTGCCAGATCAGACATGAGACAATAACAAGATAGAGACGAGTATAGATTGGGACCGATACAGAGCATGCAGGAAGATGAGAGGAGCCAGACACTCATCCGGGGAAGACCAGGGTTAGCTACGGGAAAATTAATCGCTCAAAAACCAGATGACAGATGAACCCTCAAAACTGCCGGCTTTTGGATTGGCTCAACGGGGTGACCAGCAACGGCCGGGATCTGGTACTAAGTCCACGGAGAAGAAACAGGAGGCATTCCACCTGGTTTGAGATCCTATTTGGGGGGCGAGATTGAGGGTCAACATTCGGCCGGAGAGATTTCCGCGGGAGCCGGTGGGCTCGAACAATGACCTAACTAACGAGCAGAGATATGTAATAGTAATACTCCGTACTCTTCAGATGGTCTAGTCATGGCCTGGTGTGTCCTCCAGTCGGGAAGACAGGGAGAAACCGGGCTTCTCATTCGAACATTCCTACGGGGGGGTGTGGGCACTTGAGACTTGGTCCCGAAAAAAAAAAGTATAAAAAATCCAGACATGAAAAAATCCGGAAACAAGCCTCTCCCGAGTAGCCAAGAGACTCACTAAACTAGCGACATTTTGTGCTGTAATGGTAAAACAAGCCCCAGGAGGACAGCGGCCAGATCCACTTGTCTAGAGGGCTCCACCGCCGATTAATTGCCCATTAATTGCAGCAGGATTACGAAGTCTCCAGCTGGCCGTGAACAAAGTATTGTTCTCGTGTATTCACGGTATCGGAGACTATTGAGTAAGTAATGTTGCCTGGGACTGTTGAGCTTTTTGCCGCAGTGGAGACGGGCAGGAAAAAGATGGAAAGCAATGGTCCCATCGGCTGGTCAGTGAGCAGACGTCTAAAAACAACGGGGAGTCAGTAGTAGTAGTTAGTAAGTAGTACATACTAGTACTATGTAGCATGCATCTGCTGCTGGAAACAAAACCATTCTCAATGCATCTCTCGAAATCCCTCACAATGAATTTGATGATTCTCAGCAACTGCAAGGAGCTTCAATCAATCAAACTCTGGTACGTATACTTCCGATCACGGCCAATCAGACGCTTATCAGGAACCGATAAGGCAGTCGCGATAAGCAACAGCCTCAATGCCTTCCTTTCTCCATCGCATCTCCGCGGAGTCGCACTCGTCGCTCGATTCCATGCAGCCACTCCCCAATTACCGAATCGAACCCATCGCATGCCCGGTTCTTATCCGTCCTTTCCCCTCTCCACGAACGGTGGCTCCTCTATGATCTGCATGGCGGGTCAAGAGGTCCCTGATTACAGAACGATCAAGCATGGACCCCCCTCGCAACTGATTACCTCAGAGGTCATAGTCACCCATCCAGTATCCCACGGAGAAACACAACTCAAACGCCCCTATGTCCGCAACTCCGCGCAGTTATCGGTCTCCTCTTGGCGAGATAGTTACAATGATGGTGGTTTGTTGTCCATGGCTGTGTAGCGCAGCTCCGGTGCCGCGGGGGTTCTCTTTTCCCTGTGGCACAAACAAAACCGCGCTGGTTTCCTGTTGGCCACTGCTATCGATGTAGGATTCCTTGATTATCCTCTGTCATCACAATGCCTCTGTTGGATGGATCAGGGAATGGTGACGCTGTCGTCATGGACAGCGTCCCCAGCGTTCTCCCTCCCGCAGTTGATTCCCTACCAGATCCGGCTACTCGCCGGTCGGCTTCGAATAGGCGCCAGAAGATCGTGGTGGTCGGCTTGGGCATGGTGGCTATATCCTTCATGTATGTTTGGGCAGTCGAACCACTGTCTATTAACGCCGAAACTCGGGATGCTGACTACTCTTGTTTGTTCTTAGTGAGAAGCTCGTCAAGCAGGACTCGGAGCGACGAAAGTATGATATCGTTGTCATTGGTGAAGAACCACACATTGCCTACAATCGAGTCGGCCTATCGTCTTTTTTTGAGCACCGCAAGATCGAAGATCTATACCTGAACCCAAGAGAATGGGTGAGTACTCCGTAGTCTGCTGAGTTTCCGATCCGCGCTCGGGATGGCGGCCCTGGTCCAGACACTAACGCCGAAGCCGGTGCCCTAACTAGTACGGTTCCATCAAAGACCGATCCTTTGACTATCACCTCAACACTCGGGTAACCGACATCTTTCCCGACCGCAAGACGGTCAAAACTTCGACTGATGATATTATTCCTTACGATATCCTGATTTTGGCTACGGGTTCTGATGCCGTACTTCCCACGCGCACCCCGGGACACGATGCCAAGGGCATCTTTGTCTACCGGACGATCTCGGATTTGGAAAAGCTCATAGAGTTTGCATCCAAGCATAGAGGTGAGACGGGCGTCACTGTAGGAGGTGGTCTGTTGGGCCTAGAGGCAGCCAAAGCGATGACAGACCTGCAAGACTTTGGCAGTGTCAAACTCGTCGATCGCAACAAGTGGGTGTTGGCGAGACAGCTGGATGGAGATGCTGGCACCCTTGTGACCCGCAAGATTCGAGAGCTAGGCCTGGATGTACTACACGAGAAACGCGTTGCACGCATAAATACAGATGACGATAACAACGTTACTGGAATTGTTTTCGAAGATGGTGAAGAACTCAGCTGCTCATGCATCTGTTTCGCTGTACGTTTCCTTTTGCCATTGCCGCTGCTTTTGACGTGCTAACTCCCAGGATAGATCGGAGTCAGGCCACGAGATGAGCTAGGCCAGTCCGCGGGAATCCAGTGTGCTGGAAGAGGAGGTTTCGTCATCGATGAAAGGTACAGTCAGTACTTAAAAAATTCATCTGATACATACTAACACTACAACAGCCTCCAGACATCCATCGAAGACATTTATGCGATCGGAGAATGTGCAAGTTGGGAGAACCAAACCTTTGGTATCATCGCTCCCGGCATCGAGATGGCCGACGTGCTCGCATACAACCTCACCAACCCCGACAAGGAACCCAAAAGCTTCAGGAGACCCGATCTCAGTACCAAGCTAAAGCTGCTAGGTGTCGATGTGGCTAGCTTTGGTGACTTCTTCGCCGATCGGGATGGGCCCAAGTTCCTCCCCGGTCAACGGCCGTCAATGCCCTCCGGAGGTGCAGCTGAAGATGAGCCAGCTGTAAAGGCGCTTACATACAAGGATCCTTTTGGCGGTGTCTACAAGAAATATCTCTTTACCATGGACGGCAAATACCTCCTGGGTGGTATGATGATCGGGGATACGAAGGACTATCTCAAACTGAATCAGATGGTCAAGTCCCAGAAAGAGCTGGACGTACCTCCCAGCCAGTTCATTCTGGGGGCTCAGAGCGGTGGAGAGGAAAATGCCGATGATTTGTAAGTCATTAGGTTCGCTCAGACCCTGAAAAGGTGGCTAATAACTCTCACGCGTATAGAGATGATAGCACACAGATTTGTGCATGCCACAATGTTACGAAAGGTGACTTGGTTTCGAACATCAAAAATGGCACATGCAAGACCGTTGCGGAGGTCAAATCGTGCACTAAAGCGGGAACCGGCTGTGGCGGCTGTATGCCGCTAGTGCAGTCCATCTTCAACAAGGCCATGCTGGACATGGGACAAGAAGTCTCGAACAACTGTATGTATACACTGATCTTTTGGCTTTGGAATTATTCTAATGTGTATGCAGTATGTGCTCATATTCCACACTCGCGGGCCGACCTTTACAACATCATCGCCATTAAGCAACTGAAGACTTTCGAGGATGTCATGAGGACGGTCGGCAAGAACCCCGATTCGCTTGGCTGCGAGCTGTGTAAGCCTGCAATTGCCTCGATTCTCTCCAGTCTTTTCAATAGACACATCATGGATAAGGATTTACACGAGTTACAAGAAACAAACGATCGGTTCCTTGCCAACATTCAGCGGAACGGGACCTTCTCGGTTGTTCCTCGAGTACCTGGAGGAGAAATCACCGCGGACAAATTGATCACGATCGGGCAAGTCGCCAAGAAATACAACCTCTACTGCAAGATTACTGGAGGTCAGCGTATCGATTTGTTTGGTGCCAAGAAGCAGGATCTGCTTGACATCTGGACGGAATTGGTCGATGCAGGTATGGAAAGCGGACATGCGTATGCCAAGTCGCTTCGGACTATCAAGGTATGTAACTTCATGATGATTCGTTGGTTGGGTTGGTCTGAGGACATGCTAACGCTTCTCAGAGCTGCGTGGGGACCACATGGTGCCGGTTCGGTATTGGCGACAGTGTTGGCATGGCCATCCGGCTAGAAGAGCGCTACAAGAGTATCCGCTCCCCGCACAAGCTAAAGGGCGCCGTCTCCGGCTGCGTGCGAGAATGCGCAGAGGCACAGAACAAAGAGTGAGTCTTTCCTTTCTGTCAATTATTTCCTGGTTTTCTAGCTAATCTGCTCCAGTTTTGGTCTTATTTCCACCGACAAGGGCTTCAACATCTTCGTTGGAGGCAACGGAGGTGCCAAACCTCGGCATTCCGAAATCCTCGCCAAAGATGTTCCTCCCGAGAAGGTCATCTCGATGATCGATCGGTATCTTATCTTCTACATTCGCACAGCAGACAAGCTGCAGCGGACAGCTCGCTGGATTGAAAACCTCCCGGGTGGTATTGAATATCTGCGCGAGGTAGTCGTGGAAGACAAACTGGGTATTGGTGCGGAGATGGAACAGCAGATGCAGGAACTGGTCGACAGTTATTTCTGCGAGTGGACCGAAACAGTCCGGAACCCCAAGCGGCGCAAATACTTCCAACAGTTTGCCAACACGGATGACACTGTCGACACCGTGGAGGTGATCAAGGAGCGCGACCAGCAGCGCCCGACCTATTGGCCCAGCGAACCGGCCAAAGAGGACTTCAAGGGCCACCAGTGGTCCAGTCTCTCGTGGCAGCCTATCATCAAGGCTGACTACTTTTCGGATGGCTCGCCACAGATGTCATCCGCCAATGTGAAGCGTGGGGATACGCAGTTGGCCATCTTCAAGGTCAAGGGCAAGTACTACGCGACGCAACAGATGTGCCCTCACAAGCGGGCGTTTGTCCTGTCAGACGGGTTGATCGGCGATGATGACGCCGGCAAGTACTGGGTGTCATGTCCCTACCACAAGCGCAACTTCGAGCTGAATGGAGAGCAAGCGGGTCGATGCTCGAACGACGAGAGCATGAACATCGCGACGTTCCCGATTGAGGAACGGGACGACGGATGGATCTATCTGAAGCTGCCACCTGTCGAGGAGCTGGACTCGATTCTTGGGACGGAGAAGTGGAAGGTGCGGAAGGGCGAGGCGCCCGATCCTTTCAAGAAGCATGACAAGAAGTATAAGGGGATGCGAGGGAAGAAGGCGGGCGAGAAGGCATCCGGGTGCGGTACGGCTGCGTCGTCCACGGTGATTGACTGGTAGTCAGTTCGTCTGTGGCGAGGGTGACGATGATGACGATGATGATGTTACGATTTGAGCTAGAGCTTCTTTGACTGGATTAGGATGTCCCTCTACAGCACACCATGTAATTTATTCTATGTATCTTCCAATACCAGTTCCACATTGTCTACTATTCGTATTACACCTAAGCCTTAGTGGTGGCCCAGGGAGCTCTCAGCACACACACGACTGGATAACTGGAACCCATCGTGGATATTAAGATGGTGCCATATCCTGCCCGATGCAGCTGCTGCCTATATTAACTGTATTTAGACCATGCTCGGGGAAGCCATACATAAGTGAGCAGGTGCTAGTCCGGTCTCCAGCAGCTTACATTGGGGGCCCGGGGCAGCCGTTCGTAGCCGAGGAGCGTTCGTTGTATTTTGTGTTTGCCTTGCGTGCCTTGCATGACCAATTCTAGTATTTGCACCAAAAGCAGTCCGGCGTTCCAATTTAGGGCAGCGGCTGTCAACTTGTCCGGGCCCCCCTAATAGCAACATGCTTATTGGCTGGAACGAATGACTTATCAAGGATCAGCCCACGAGGTGGCCCGTGCATGACATTGCTTTTTTTTTACTTTTTTTTCTTCCCAACTGGGACAGCATTCTCATTGTTTGGGTCTTCTTATCAGCCAGTTTCAGCCTATCTCTCAGTGTTTGATACGAAATCGGATGCCGAGAGTTCCTATATCGGGAGTGAAGATGTATCATTGTCCAACATAGACAGTCGATCTGCAACCCCTTTTTTGGCTTTGCCTTTGTGAGTCTACTGTAAGTCTGTACATCTTCCATCCGGACGGAAGACAGATGGATCCTTGAAGCAGTTCGAAACCGGGTCGAGACGGCGACTCACAGTACTAGAGGACTGAATAGATATCCACCTGCCAAACAGACGAGGAATACGTAAGTAGTGGCCCCCGTTATTAATTTACTGCCGCCCCATCTGGCTGGCCACTACGGAGTAGTCTGTAGTACGGAGTAGTGGCTGGCAGCTCGGCAGCTCCTACTATACCCGACTGGGGACGTATTCTGTAGACTCTTGCAATGTCAAGCAATGGCAAGCTTCAGAAGGAGGGAGAAAAATTTGCTAGCTCGTAGACGGAGAAATGGATACCAGGACTTGCAAAATATTTCAACCGGAGGTTTGAGGAGGATGACTTGCGGTGACGATGGCCCACTTGCCGGTGGGTTTGATTTTATTTTATTTTTTCTTTTTCTTTCTTTCTTTCTTTCTTTCTTTCTTCTTCTTCTGTTGTGATTGTCAATTTTTAAGATGAGAGAAACTGAAAGTGACCGCGTCGCTTCCTGAGGCCCCGTCTCTGTCCCGTGATACAGTCAGTCCAGTAGGAGTAAATGAGTAAATGACTGAATGTGTGAGTGTACTTACTCCGTAATGGGTGGCTGCCTCAATTTCCTGGGTCCCTCCCTATCTACTCCGTACGACTAGTCTATCTCTCGCCAATCTCTCTCTACCATTCCTCCCCTCCCTATCCCCCTCTACACGCCCACTCATTCCCCCCCGGAAATACACAAACAGTCATCCTTCTTCCATCTACACTCCGCGGAGTTACTTCTCCAGATCTTCTACCTTATCCTTATCAGTTCCCCAGAACCATGCCAATCATGCCCTAAACTGCCGTGCAGAGACCCTTGCTTATCTCCAGCACTGGTCTCGTTGGTCCACGCCTCTCGATGAGGGTCATGAACTGGGCCTCGATCGCCGTGCCATGAACCCTGAGGTCATCTTCCTGCTTAGGTCCATGACTAGCGACTCCGGCTCTTACGCTGGACGGTCTCTCTTACCGCGCGACCCAGTATCCACAGCCACGCTCAATCCGACTGCCAGGTGTGGATCCCCGGCCATTGCTCCTAGATTGAGTTCACAGGCTTGCCTTGGTTCTGTTTATTTCGCTGCAGTTGCTGCTGATAATAATATTTTTTGCCCTGCTGCCACACCGTGTTGAGCTTGACCCATTTCCTAGGAGATACTGAGTTCTGTTTCTCTGAATGTTATGTCGTTTAATTTTATCAGAAGCAAGCCACTCGCATCAATCAACTGGTAATCAGACCGCTGACCCTCCTAGGAGATAGATAACTAGATAGATTGATGCCTTGAAAGAGGCCTCCCACACGGGGTGTCGGGGCATTTCCTACGCCTGAAAAGAACGTTTCCACTTCTTGTGACAACACTATCCGAAGCACCGGTCTATATATACACGTCCTCTCCATCGATCTAATTCGGTCTTAATTCTCCTGTATTACCCTATACTACACTCTCAATACCCATTGCACTTCCAGCGGGACCCAGTCGTCCGTTGGTTTACTCGCATCTAATACGCCCTGGTGGTGTTTTGTCTTTGTTGTGATACCCCTTCTCTCTGTGCTTGCTAGATCCCTCCTGTACCTTACATCCTTGCTGTCTTACCTTGCTGTCTCCTAGCGACAGTATACCATCAGTTGATTTATCCATCAACGGAGTTTGTCTGGCGATGGATCACGTCAAGCTCCTTTTTGTCTCTCCGGAGATTAACCCGAGTAATCGCAAAGCACAATCAATCCCCGTCCTCAACCCATTCGACAAGTATGGTCGAGTTTTCTTCTTCTCATGGCTGGGTTTCATGGTGGCTTTCCTGTCGTGGTATGCCTTTCCACCGTTGGTAAGTGACTCCTAACCCGTACGCATGCATGGACAAAGGTTGACATAGGTTCCTCACATAGTTGACCGACACAATTCGCCAAGATCTTAACATGACAGAGACGCAGGTCGCAAACTCGAACATCGTTGCTTTGCTCGCGACGTAAGCCTTCCCGCCCCATACTCCTCTTATACATAGAAATTCGTTGACAATATGCTAGTCTGCTTGTGAGATTCGTAGCAGGACCCCTTTGTGACAAATTCGGTCCTCGTCTGGTCTTCATCGGGCTGCTGCTTTGTGGGTCGATCCCGACTGCCATGGCGGGTCTTGTCACGACTCCCAATGGCCTGATTGCCCTGCGCTTCTTCGTGGGTATCCTAGGAGGTACCTTTGTCCCATGCCAGGTCTGGTGCACGGGATTCTTTGACAAGAAGATTGTTGGGACTGCGAATGCTCTGGCTGGTGGCTGGGGCAATGCTGGTGGCGGAATCACCTTGTATGTTGAACATTGTACCTCTCTTGATCATTTGGCTTACTTGTCTCAGCTTCGTTATGCCCGCCGTGTACGATTCCCTCGTCAAAGTCCAAGGCTTGACACCACACAAAGCATGGCGCGTGGCATATATTGTGCCGTTCATCATCATTGTCGGGGTTGCCCTGACTATGCTCTTCGTCTGTGAGGACACGCCAACGGGCAAATGGTCAGAGCGTAATCTCTGGGTGAAGGAGGCCACGGAGTCCGAGGGCAACATCATTGATATCAACTCGGGAATTCCGTCTAAAGCCCCCTCGGTGTCCGACATGATGACGGACGTGGAGAAGAAAGGCGGCGCCCAGACTCCCATGTCCCTGGGAGCCGAGTCCCAGCAAATTGGTCAGTTCGACGCGCTGCGGACGGACACAGTAGTAGCACCCACACGCAAAGAGGCCTTGAACGTGCTCTTCAGTATGTTCACTGCAGCCGTCGCTATTCCATACGCCTGCACTTTTGGAGCAGAACTTGCCATCGAGTCCGTTCTAGCAAACTACTATGTAGCAAACTTCCCTAGTATGGGACAGACTGAGTCCGGACGATGGGCCGCCATGTTCGGGCTACTGAATATCATCTGCCGACCAGCTGGTGGCTTCGTGGCCGACTTTCTGTATCGAACCACACAGAGCCTATGGTCGAAGAAGATCCTGCTGGTCTCCTTGGGACTCATCACGGGAGCTTTCCAGCTCGCGATCGGACTCACCAACCCGAAAACCGAGGCCACCATGTTTGGCCTCATGGCCGGGCTTGCCTTTTTCCTCGAAGCCTGCAATGGCGCCATCTTTTCTTTGGTACCTCATGTGTATCCATTTGCCAATGGTGAGCTCACTTTGAAACATCCCTAATGACTTTGTGCTAATGGTAATAGGTGTCGTGTCGGGTGCTGTCGGCGGCATGGGCAATTTTGGTGGAATCATCTTTGCCATCATCTTCCGCTACAATGGGTCGCACTATGCTCAATCGCTCTGGATCATCGGGGCGATCTCGCTGGCAGCGAACGTGGGCATTTCGTGGATCCGGCCGGTGGCGAAGAACCCAGTTGTGAGGCAGTAGTGCATTCACTTTGTTTATGAAAGATTTTGATGATATCTAGCCGATGCAATTTCATGTTCATGTAGTAATCTATTTGAGAATGAGCTTTTACTATTACTATTCTTTTGGTCTTCGTCACGCCTTGCTTCCTCTGTCGAGTCTGCGCCCGCGTACAGTAACCTCGTCTGTCTGAGCTAGATCTCATGGAGCAGCCAAAGCAACCATGGAACACAAATTCTAGAAGCCATTTACAGCAGCACACAATGCACAGATGATAGATCGGATAAGAGATCCCCGGAAGACAGCGGAAAGTCAAAGCGCAATGATGATGGCATAGCGAATACTTTGAGTTTCGGGTCCGATTATATGAAGAACCATATGGTTGAGATAGCTACCTTTCTTGAACACAATCCAGATAACTTGATTTTTGCTTGAATCTGAATCAATATAACTATATCAACTAATATATATATATATATATATTTGAAATACCTACCACATACCAAGATGTCTCAACGTAAGTCACCCCATGCCCCGAACCCAACACCACCACCACCACCACTACGATCACTTTATATATGAATACTTACACAGAATACCTTATGGTATGATATAGACCACGAAAACATCTTCGACAAAATGTTTCACCACCACAAACACCAAGACACTCAGCACACTAGTGCCAGCCAAGGAGAGAACGACAGCGGCAACTACCCCTCTCAGCAGCAGAGCAACCTGCATGAAACAGAGGAGGAAAGTCAACCTTCGCATCATGGAGAGGAGGAAGGAGTCGTGAATCGATTTGAGAATTATATTAAGGAGGATGAGGAGTTGGAGAGGGAGGGGCAGACGTATGGGGGGTTGATGTAATACTTTATTTTATTTACTATTTAGTATTAGTTTCTTGTGTCGGATTGGGGAGGGGATATTGGGGTTATTCTATCAGTATTCAGTTTACGGTAATATTGTGTTTATTTTGAGGGTAGTAAGTAGGGTGGGTTGTAGTGTGTGGTGGTATTGGTAACTAAGTAGTAGTACTAATGGCTTTGTATAGCTATGGGGTGAGTGCTGGAGGATGGTGTACTAGTATACAATGTATAGTTACTAGTAGTAGTACTATTGACTAAGTGGTAGTTGTTGCTAGTACTAAAATCTTCTGATATTATAATAGATCATGGATGTCAAGATATTAGTCGTCCAGAGCAGAATGAATATGTCTTGTATGAGGAGTAGTTGATAATTTCAGATATAGACATCATACTACTTCTAGTATCCACAGCTACTTTTGAACAAAAAGCATGTAACTACGTCTTGTGTTATCCAACCCTAATCTATAACTGCATAGTATACAAACAACTACGACATCAACCAAACCCCCTTTTCTACCACCACAACATCTAACTAGTAGTTAGTAAGTAGTGTGACCCCTCCCTCGGTCCATCCCAACCCCCAATTCGGGCCATCATCACCCCGAATCTACAACAAAAACATACATACATATACAGCAACTACCACCACCACCATCACCATACTACTATCATCCCATCCTCACGTTCAGCATTGCACCCCACAACAACCTTTCTCCGAAACCAAACCTCCCACCCCAATCCCACCAAGTGATACATACCAAAATCCAACAATGCCCACCCGCCGCATCGCCCAAATCGTCCATCTCAAGCCATCCGCCATCGCCGCATACAAAGAATGTCACGCGAACGTATGGCCCGAAGTCCTACAGCAGATCAAGGAGTGTAATATTCGCGATTGTATTTATCCCCTTCCCTCCTCCCCCATCTCCCGTCATGAACGAGGTGCAAAGATATATATATAGAAGCAGAAGCAGAAGCTAATATAGGGTAATGGGTATTTGCAGACTCTATCTTCTTCGATAATGAGCGGACGCTGTTCGCAACGTTCAAATACGTCGGGGAGGACTTTGATGGGGATATGCAGCGGATGAAGGCCAATCCGAAGGTGAGGGAGTGGTGGGGGTTGACGGATGGGATGCAGGTATGTTTATTGCTTTATACTTAGTATCCATTATGATGGTGGTTAGTTTAGAGGGAAGTGAGGCTTATATTTATTACTATGTGCAGGAGAGTCCGATTCCTGGCGCTATTGGAAGTGCTGAAGGTCCTGGGTGGTGGAAGGTGTTGGATGAGGTGTTTTATACTGAATGAATTCTATGAATACTCGGATTTCTTTCTTCTGTTCACTCCTCACAAGTATAGAAATACATAAAGGTACTTGACGGATCTCATTAGGATCTCATATACATGCCATGCAACAATGGGTATCTTCGCCGGGAAAATCCGTAGCCGCAAATCAGCTGCTCCAAAAACGCCGACTCCCTCTAACGCAAATATATCGGTAACCAATCGTTATAGCTCATGCAACACCACTAAGATAATGCCAACCGCCAGGGTATAGGCAGCCCACGGTGTCGGTCTCATTCGGCGCTGCCAGGGACATCTTTCAGGATCTCCCATCCAAATTCGTCCTCCGGCCTCTCAGGCTCCATACCAAGCGCGTTGCGGTACGCCCGCACCTCGTTCTGTAGGCCTGCAACAATCCGGATAGGCAGCTCTTCCTCCTCGGAGCGGAGACGGTACGCCGTCCGAATCATCTCGGCACACTTCATCGTTTGCGCATGCCAGTAGTCACGGTCTAAGCGGCTCTCCAGGTGGGAGTCACGCTCCGCTTGGAGCAGATTGTTGTAGTGGCGTTTCTGAGACAGATAGTGCATGTTGTTGTTTTGGCAGTAGTTGCGGATTTGCTCGACCATCGTTCCGAGGGTCGCCTCATATTCACCGATCAATTTGGCGTTCTCCGCCTGCTCGGTTCGTAAGACCTCAACTAAACGTCTCTCTTTGGCGAGGGCACGCTCGAGCTCGGTAATACGGGCACCTAGGCTTGTCAGCCGCTGTTCAGAGAGAGGGAAATTCAGACGTCAACTTACCGGTGATTTCCCCGTTCACTTGCTGCAAAGTCGGGTTGGTACCCTCCGAACCAGACCGTTTCTGTCCCTGTCAGCCCGGTTAAACCAGACTATATAGCCTCCATGGAAGACATACCATAATCTCCTCCGCACTAGTCACTATACTTTTCGTCATTTCGCGATTGTTCTTCAACACGTCGCTCAACTCCAATACCATATCGTAGAGATGGTGCAGATCCATCTGATGGCCCGCGTTCATAGGAACTCCGCCGTTCATACCAGGCATTCCGCCGCCGTTGACCTGAGCCGGTGGATGAGGCATCGCAGGCGACATCGAGGGACGAGGAACATTGGGCATGCCCGAAGCACCGCCAGAGTTATCGCCGTAGCTGGCAAACATGGCCGACCCAGGGCTACTGCCCGTCATGCCCCCACTGCTGTTCATCGACATGTTTGCGGAGTCAAAAGCGTTGTTTAATGCGTTGAACTCGGGATCGACAGCAGGATTCGGTTTGGGGAGGTTATGGTCGTCGTCAAAGCCGAACCCAGAGGACTCCAAACCCAACACTTCTTTTCTGAATTTCTCAAGGTCACGACGAGTAACGTGGGTGGAACGGCGGCGATGCCCACGCACAAAGGGTGCCTTGGAATCAGGGGAAGGCGTAGACGCGCTGATGATGCCGGGTGAAGAGGGCTCACTTTTGCTGTAGCTGGTGTGGTGCGCGGTCGGAGTTAGATCGTCAAGATTGGGAAAAAAAACCGTTGCGGTGAGAGCAGCAGACAATGGGGAAGCAGCAGGTAAAGCTGGGCGATGAGGGTCATCCACCTCGTCCTGATAGTGAACCGTGGCCGCGGAGAAGCCAAAACAGTCAAGCGTCGGAAATTCGGAAGATTCCAGCCGAGCACCAGCCTCGGCAGCGCCACAACTTGGGGCGGTGGCCGCACCAGAATTCTCCATGATAGCTACTAGTACTAGTAGTAGCTAGTTAAACCTGGGTTATGCCAAAAAGGGATGAATTCAAAAAAGTGTGTGGTGAATGTAAAACAATAAGAGGAAGGGAAATCGATGGGTAGAAAAATAAAAATGTGGGAACCAGTGGAAAAGAGAAGGAACAGAGCAGCTGCTTCTGCTTCTGCTGCTGCTGCTACTCTGTAAGTAGTAGTAGTCGTTAGTAGTCCCAAAAACAACCGTTTGGCTCTCGTTCTTCTCCCTCCTTCCTGTCACTGGCACTTTGCTATGATCGTTGCAGCCGCAATCAATCGTCTGGTTCCCCCCTTGCAACTTTCTCAAAGTTCCGGTAACTGCATGGGAAATCCCTCTAATTATAGCTGCCCAAAGGAGACCTGCGGCGTAGAGTCAAGAAATTGAGATCTACTGATTGATTATCCAGTTGCAATGGTTTTCATGCATCTGTGCGACCTCTTTTGCCGGCAATGCCGCACCCTCAATCTCCAGAGACTAGTATGTATGTATGAAGGCGCAACGCTCTCATAAAATGTAGGCAAGGCATGCAATTTAGGTATTCGGGCATCCTTCCATTCCATTCAATGCATGAAGTCATTCTAGCCGGGCCCTTTCTCTCTATTTGTCATCACGTCATGTCCAATAAGGCATCTAGTTTCTGGTCGCACCCCAGATACGGCTTGTCCTGCTCCTGAGCCCCCAGTTTCTTCTTCCCCTGTTCGACTCGGCCGCCCACTCGCGCAACCAGCATCCTCATCTTGTCTAACTCTTGGACTAGCTCGCCATCTCTCGTCACCAGATTAGGCTGGATGTGTTTCTGCGGTTCTCGGAACGGCTCCAGTAATTGCTGCAGCTGTCGTAATTGATCCAGGCGCCGTTGTCGTTGTTGCCGTAAACGATTCAGGTCTGTAAGACGCTCCCGTAGTTCTTGGTATCTGTATCACAATTAATCAGCTGAAACTGTGATCGGTGCGAGAGGTATCCCAGACCTAGCTCGCTGTTCTTCGCTCGCGGATTGGTCCTCTAGCTCCAATGGGAGTTGTGCGATATTCCTGCGACATTAGATCTATCTGCTTTCCCAGCAACAGAAGTCCGAAGCTCACAAATGACTGGATAGATCCACCGATCTCTCAACCCCTTTTATCAAAGACCCTGGGTTGTGTATTGCCTGGGTTACCGATGACCAGTATAGGCTGGTGATTTGCTGAGCGACATGCTGAACCGCTTGGGAGGAATAGACGATGCGACTGTGTTGTTTCAAAGCGGCGTTTACTGGTGTCCCACAGACTCGTTAGAAACATATACAAAATGAAGAACGATATGCGTATTGACCACAGTGCACTATGCGCCATCATGTGCAGTAATCCGAGGACGGTATGCGTGAAGGTCCAATCCTGGATGCTTGCACTTACACTTTTGCAGAACATCACCGACCACCTTATCACTGAGATCATCCTCTTCGGTCTCAGCGGCGTAGTTTCGCCAATCTTCGGGCGGCTCAAGGCCTTCGGATAGTATTCGGACTTGCGCCCTGATGAAGGACGACTTCAACTCGGAGATGGTACGAGTAGATTCCATGACTCCATAGTGAGGGATTGTGATCGGCTCAGAGGATAAAAGAGGACCATCGCGATTCGGCTTCACTGAACGCGTCCGGCGCTATCGATAAGCACACACGTGACGGATGCGCAGTGCCCCCTTCCGCCAACCTGCCATCCATCGTCAATTATCACCAGAGATTGGAGTCAAGAATCTCCTTGCGTCTTGATGATTTGTACGTTTCATGCCGCTAATATTGCAGGGCCTTTGCGGCGCAGGTTTGGCCTTTAGGGTCTGGAATTCCCCTGCAGCTTTCATTGCCTCGGACCTTGATTGTAAACCATAAGCAACAACCGATCTGTCGTATCTAACCTCGGTAACTTGGACCCCAAGTCTGGTCTTCTACTACTCCGCCAAAGAACAAACATCAAGCGATATCTTCGTCTTACATCTAGATTACCTTTGTCACTGCTATCTCTACCCATCCACTGTCTTCCCAAAGGCTCTACCGACTAGTATATCGCCACTATGGCTGACAACCAACGGCCGATAGGCCTGCTGTTCGACATTGGAGGAGTGTGTGTAAGGCTGCGCGATTGCCCAACCCAGAAATAATGGTCTGTTGATAAAGCTGCAGGTTGTTTCTCCCTTTCAGGCTATTTTGGACTATGAACTGGCCCACAACATCCCCCCAGGATGGGTGAACTTCAGTATCTCTCGTACCTCACCCAACGGCAGCTGGCACAGACTGGAGCGCGGGGAGATCAAGATGGATGCCGACTTCTTTAAGGAATTTAACAAGGATCTACGAAACCCTGACCTATGGAAGGCGTTCCACGAGAGACTTCAGAAACAGCGCTCAGATAGTGCGCCAACATCGGTGCCTCCATTACCCGCCCTGGACGCGGAGTTCCTCTTCTGGGAGATGATGAGGGTGTCTAGAACGCCGGATCCATATATGTTTCCTGCTCTGAAGAGACTGAAGCAGTCAGGAAAGTTCGTTATGGGAGCTCTGTCAAATACAGTTATCTTCCCCGATGGACATCCGTACAACACAGACATCGATGATAAGAAGTCGCAATTTGACTTCTTCATCTCATCTGCGCATACGGGTCTCAGGAAACCCGACGGGAAAATATATCAGGTTGCGCTGCAAGAGATGGAAAATGTAGCGAGGAAGAAGGGTCTAGGTGGGATTCGCCCGTCTGACATTGTGTTCCTTGATGACATCGGAGAAAACCTTAAGGGCGCAAAGAAAGCTGGCATGCGAACCCTGAAGGTTAATCTGGGACGGACCCAGGACGCTGTTAAGGAGCTGGAGAGGATGACGGGCCTTCAGTTGCTAGAAACTCCAGAAAAACCCCGGCTGTAAATAGTATAATTTGGCCAGCTAGTGAGATCATATTCAGCCAGCCTACAATATTATAATCATGAGATTTCTCCAAATGAAGATTGTTGAAAGAGAAGACTTGGTTATGATTGTTGGGAGTACGGAGTAAGTGGTGGTACATACTTCGGTCCTTCAGCCCGCTCGTGGCCAACCGCAGTCTGGCGCCGGGATGCAGCCACGCTAAGCGAAGCCTTCCACAAAAGACATCCCACGAAATTTCCCATCTCTTCCTTTGCAGCCACCGTCGACAACCCCGTCATCAACCAGCGGCAACCGTCAATATGGTGAGTTTTGCTGTAATTCTCAAGTGACTGGGAACCGACTTCGTCGCAAATTCCCCCGTCGCCTGAACGAAAATTTCAGGTCATCCCACATGGGCGACCGCACTGTGGGATTGGAAACGGGTCTTTGCAAGATGCTTCGGACGGTCTTTGGCTGAAGCGCAAATTGCTGACTCGACTGTCTCTTGTAGCCTTTCCACAAGCTCGTCAAGAACAGCGCTTACTACAGGTAAGAAATCTACAAACCCCCTCATCCCGTCAAAACTTGGCATGAACTAACAAATTTTCTCTCTACAGCCGCTACCAGACCAAGTACCGTCGTCGCCGTGAGGGTAAGACCGACTACTATGCCCGTAAGCGCTTGATCACCCAGGCCAAGAACAAGTACAACGCCCCCAAGTACCGCCTGGTCGTCCGCTTCACCAACCGCGACATCATCACCCAGATCGTCTACTCTGAGATCTCCGGTGACAAGGTCTTCGCCAGCGCCTACTCCCACGAGCTCAAGCGCTATGGCATCACCAACGGTCTGACCAACTGGGCTGCCGCCTACGCCACCGGTCTCCTCCTCGCCCGCCGTACCCTCAAGAAGCTCGGCCTGGATGAGCAGTTCCCCGGTGTCGAGGAGGCCGATGGTGAGTACACCCTCACCGAGGCCGCTGAGACCGACGAGGGCTCCCGCCGTCCCTTCAAGGCTTTCCTTGATGTCGGTCTTGCCCGTACCTCCACTGGTGCCCGTGTCTTCGGTGCCATGAAGGGTGCCTCCGACGGTGGTATCTTCGTTCCCCACTCCGAGAGCCGCTTCCCCGGTTTCGACATCGAGTCCGAGGAGCTCGACGCTGAGACTCTCCGCAACTACATCTTCGGTGGTCACGTCGCTGAGTACATGGAGGGTCTTGCCGACGACGATGAGGAGCGCTTCCGCTCCCAGTTCCACAAGTACCAGGAGGCTGGTGTTGAGGCTGGTGACATTGAGGAGCTCTACACTGAGGCCCACAAGGCCATCCGTGAGGACCCCTTCAAGAAGGACGAGGATGCTGGTGAGAAGAAGACCAAGGAGGAGTGGAAGGCCGAGAGCAAGAAGTTCCGTCCTGTCCGCCTCACCCGCGAGCAGCGCAAGGAGCGTGTTGAGCAGAAGATCCGTGAGCTTGCTGCTTAAATGTCGGACTTCTGAGGCCGATCGTGCTTGATGGTTTTTACCCCTCAAAAAAAGAAACTATGAGTGCGATAGTCAAAAAAGTTTGATAATTCTCTTTGAAATATAGGGGAATTAAGGTTCTTCTTGCCCACTACTACTACTTCTTTTTTTTTTTGTGATATCCAGTAGTCTTGATGAAATCTTCATGACCGGAGTTTATATGGCAGGGTTGAGTTTTACTGCGTTCGGAGCAATTAAGGAACGCGCACAATGGGATATTAATTGACCATCTAAGAAGTGCTCCGGTAAAATGGCAATGTAGACACTAGACACAACTTGTAGAAACCACAATAACGCCCGCTATACTAGAGTCACAGTGGACCATCATGATAACTCCCCGCCATCCTTCAACCGTCTTACATTCTCAGTCCAAGTGGATTAAATCCATCGATGGATTGTTCGAAGACCCCTCTCGGATATGTGGGGGAACAAGCAGCAAAATTTCGGTAGCCCAA